CAAAAACACAATCCAGTAAGACTCGTTTAATCGTAGCCTTCTTTCGATTATGTTACTAACACACTCTTTCATTGTACGTCATGAAATTAACACATGAATTCTGAAAGTAATCATTATTCCAGTCCTTCGCCCATCAGAATAAGTCAGTAACACTCGATTGGAGTATTCCTTGAATGTAGTTACAGAGAATTTGCATTACATAATTTGGAGTAACACTCATTACAAAGAATTCATTTCTCATTCCAATTCTATTAATATTTCTTAATGCGACCCAGAGAAATTACAAGAATTTGGGGTTAAACTTGTTTTTACGAATAACGACAGAGACATTACTGGTTCTTATTCTCATAAAATTACTTGTTAAAAATAAATAATTTAAATTTAATTTAAATTTTAAAATATTTACTATTGATCGTATTTCTTACTACACTGCTAAAAAGCTTTGTTTATTTAAATTCTTTCGTATTAATATGAGTCATCGATATTTCTAAAAGTAACTACTTTTCGAATAGTTCTAAAAATTATTATTATAATAAATTTAATTTTTTAATATTAAATTTCTATAAAAATAGTTTTTAATTTCAATCTGTTGTTACCATAATATTTTATTTAATAATTTAAATAAACTTTTCCAATTTATTCTATTTTCCTGTATATCTGCTACCAATATTAACTGTATATTCTGAGTTTATGTAAGTTATACTTTTTTACAAAGACGTAAGTAAACTCCCGTCGTGTCTGTTATAGTAATCAAAATCGAGTAATCTTCCAGAATTATGGGCTAGATGGTCTATCATTTATGTACTTCTCCCATCACTTCAAAAGATATTTCTATCTCAATGCTAATAATGGTTGGTTGATCTTAACTACTGCTTGTTTTCGTTGTCTCTTTCGTTGCTAGATCTGATCAATACACGTTACAAACAATAAAGGAGATGATAAGCTGTCTCGTGAATGTATTCATTTTAAACTTCAATTTTATTAACTTTAGACTTATTTAGTTTCACCTAATTTAGAGATTTTGTAACCAACAGCACAGATGACAATTTCAAATAACAATAGCTATACATAATTACATTGGCAACGGAGAGTAAAGAACGAGACAAAAAATATGGACATATTCCATTATCTTTTTCATAATTAACAATATCTTCAAACGAGTAAACACCTGCAGGAATTGACAGTGTTTCTTTAAGAGACTTTTTAGCTTCCAACACTTCAAAATAATTGCAGAGAATATGCTTCCTTCCTGTATCATCGTGGGCAGCTGCATTTCTACTCTAGGATGCAGTCCTATTATGCAGTCAAATGTACATGGAGTAAAGAGAGATGCAAGTGAAGGGTATTTACTACGAAACTTTGACTCCACAAGAATTGATTTCGATGTTTATATCAATAACAACAAACCCACAATAGCCACATGTTACTCGCCACCGAAACAGTCGTTTCGGCAACTTTTCTTTAACGATCTTTAGAAACAGACTAAAAGCTTAACGATAATCGAAGATTTGAACGCTCACCATCCATTGTAGAACGATATACTAATGAACCAAAAAGGAAAGAAACTAGCTGCTTGGTCTGACACGCATACGAAGTTAAAAGTGTAGAATATCCAAACGTCTTCAAGATCGCCAGCCGTGATTGACATTTGTATTGGTCCTATTCGAATTACGACAGAGCAAACTGAACCAGATCATCTCGCCGACATTAGCGCTCAAATTTCAATCTCCTACAGAAAAGAATGATGAAAATGTTTAGCGAGACGAAGATGGAGGAGTAACAGTCCCTACTAAGTCAAATAAACACGAAGAAGTATCAAGAAGTACCGAGAAGTACAGAAGTATGCTTTTTCTCCCTTGATAAATATCCACAAAAAAACTATTATTTGAAGATGCGGTTTTCAAGGCTCCTAGAAAACTTACCCAAGATCCGAGAAAAACCACACCAACTAAAATGTTTTGCTCTAGAAAAATGTTTAATATATTATACTTTGTAATCGATCTGATCAACAAAATAATAAAATATGACGGTACATGACCAATGACAACACATTTTATCTCTTTCTGCAATAACATATAAGAATACAAATCAAAAGAAAATGACAAGAAGATATTTAACGCCTGGAACTGAGCTCAGACTACTCGCCAACGAAACAGTCGTTTCGGCAACTTTTCTTCAACGATCTTTACAAACAGAATAAAAGCTTAACGATAATCGAAGATTTGAACGCTCACCATTCATTGTGGAACGATATAGAAATGAACTAGAAAGGATCATATCCAAACGTCTTCAAGATCGCGAGCCGTGATTGACATTTGTATTAGTCCTATTCGAATTACGACAGAGCAAACTGAACCAGATCATCTCGCCGACATTAGCGCTCAAATTTCAATCTCCTACAGAAAAGAATGATGAAAATGTTTTAGCGAGACGAAGATGGAGGAGTAACAGTCCCTACTAAGTCAAATAAACAAATACATCAAAAGCGAATATAGAACGACAGAACGAGTCTATTGGAAAAAGCTATGTTTAGATCTTGAGCCGAGAAAGACGACAAAATTCTGACGGCACATGACAAATCTGATGAAAGCTCGAACACTGACAATTACTGGAATCACATAGCCAGACGCTATAATTAGCACACACATCAAGTTGATGGTCGATTGCGCACAACATCATTATTCTTCGTAGCACACCATTGATTCGCGATCGAAAACGACAAATCTATGGCAGACATTGATTGCCCACTACCGTCGAACACTGCAACAGAACAAATAGACAGCTTCGTCCGTTAATTCCTCTATGATGGACGCAACGAATGTCGAAATAACGCTCATTGATACTTTTAAAACAATACACATGAGAACAAACCGCTTGTTATCGATGTTCATCTCAAAAGCACTGACACTAATACCAGACTTTGTCCAGCTGTATACCTCAGCATAAAGCAACTAAAGGGTACTTTGTAAAACATCGAGAGCATCATTTCACTCAAGATTTACCCTAGGAATGACCATCATAATAGGTCATACGCTGACAAGAAATTAACACGAGCTACCTCGATCCACTTCTACATTTCATTAACAAATGATCAAATTGTAGCTAGCAAGTGAAATAAAGCAATAATAATAAACATATTCAAAGAACTTCATCATATCAATCATCGTTCTTACAGTGCATCTACTACTTTTAAATAAACAATAAATTAATTGAAAGAAGCTTAACTGAATCAATTGAGGTAAAAAGCTATTTTTCCTCTCCGTGCAGAAGACTCTTAAAAGTGCATAATCAACATGCATATTGCATATTATTGTTATTATTTTACAAATATACACTTTAATGAAAAAACGATAAATGTGTCCCCTTTATTTATAGACTACTAAGTAAACACATTTGGATAGCTTTTCTCTTCAGAATGATTGCCACTGAAGAAATGATAAAAACTCAACTTTCTCCATGGCAAATGTAAATCGCCTACTTTACCGCTCAAAAAGTGAATTTTGTGCAACTACATAGACATCGTGCACAAATACCTAGGTCGACTTTCCACAATAGAAGCTTGGTTGCTTCTCAATTCTGTTATAGAGGTAGTTACTCTAGTCGAAAAATGCTTCAGTTTGGCACTTCAACAACAGACGTGTGAATGTGGCATGATTGTATAAATAATCAAACTGTCATCGTCTTAGAAAAGGGTTTGATTGATATAATAAGACAATGCATGATAATGATGAGGGATCACTTTCCAATGGAATTTCACATTCTCAAGCGTATGCCGAAGAAGAAGAAGAAGAAAAAAAAATGATGTACGTGTAAAGAAAGATAAATGAGTGTATAAACCACCGATGTGTTTTCAAATTATTGTTCTAGTCATCACTGGATTTAAAATAGATAAACAATACGCAGTCTCACATGCATATTGAGTACGTATGATTCTCAAGTTACAGAGTTTGTAGAGCATTTTCGCATGACGATGCATTCGGAAATTGTTTTCGTGTTGAAAATGAGTCTCACTTAATGTTAATGAACTGCTCATGCTTTGATCCGTAGCATAATTAAGACGAGATAAGGTAATCTTATCTTTAAAGACGAGGCAGCTCACGTTCAATTACTACGTCGCTCGCGTCAGTAAATCCTCTAATCGAAATAACAATAGTTATGATAACACTTTTAGTCGATGGCTGCATTATTCTTTGGTGCAATAGAGCAAGTTGGTCAACTCCATAAAGAGGATGATGACCTGGTAGACAGAATTAATCATCAGTTCACTGTTATTCTCTTAGTGCTATTTACAGCTGTGGTTAGCGCAAAACAATACGTCGGGGTGAGAATATTCGTCTTCCATGGATGATATACATGCATGTTTTTCGTTTTCTTATTGGGATAGGAGCCTATCAATTGTTGGTCACCAGGTCAGTAGAGATTATCGGAGTCAATGCACATAGTCATTTCTTCTGTCTCATGTTTTTAGCTCAATTCACTAGGTCGCATACGGTGTATACGAACAGCATATGTTGGTTGAAAGGAACATATTATTTGCCAACCAAAGAACCAAAGATACCGTTGAGAACTGAAAATAGCCAGTTTCGAATTGCTTACTATCAATTTGTACCGTATATCTTAATTACGATGGCTCTGCTATTTTATTTGCCGAACTTGATATGGTGAGTGAAAATCGATACATTCATAGAAGGATGATGTTCAGATTTCGTTTTTCAGGCACAATTTAAGTCGTCAAACAGGTTTTGATTTACGTTCAATGATTCGCACTATTAAGGAAACGAAATCGTATGATACAGAACAGCGGCGTGAAATTGTTCGCCTGTTATCAAAACAAATTCATCTTGCATTAGAATATCAAACGACAATGGCCAAACGTCGTCGTTGCTGTTCTTTCTATCGGCATTATTTATGTGCACTCTACTTTTGTACGAAATTAGCTTATTTATTAAATGTTACTGGGCAGTTTTATCTTCTAAACATATTTCTCTCATTTTCATTCTCAAAACTCGGTATCGACTGGTTAAACAATCGGCATTCTAGTAGTGCAGACACGAGTGAGACATTTGACACAGCACCGTTTCCTCGAGTGGTTCTCTGTGACTTTATGATACGACAGTTGGGTTCAAATAATCACTGGTATGCTGTCCAATGTAATCTACCGATTAATCTGTTCAACGAGCTCATATTCGTTTTTATATGGTGGTGGCTTATATTTGTTAGTCTGCTGACAGGATCAAGTTTGCTTATGTGGATATTATCATTATATTCCAGCGTACGTCGCTTGTATGTTAAAAGATATTTACAAATCGCCAATCGTTACGGGATCAAAAGTGACTTGCGCAATGATAAATATATGCTAGATCAATTTGTTTATGATTATTTGAAATTCGATGGGGTAATAGTAATCAAAATACTCGGAAAAAATACAAATGATGTTGTTATGACAGAATTAATAGCAGCTATGTTTGATAAATATTTGCAAGTGAGAACAAGACAAATCGAGACAACGACAAGCAGTGGTTATCGTGGCGATGACCAAATTTGAGAGAACTAATTGACTCTGCTTACATCCACGCAATACAGCGGATCTAGTTCAGATGAGTTCATTCCCTCTGGTAGTCATAGTCACATTTGTCTTGATAGAGTCAAATATGTGACTCGTGAGAGAGTCCTCGTGCAACTTCTTGTCTCACGACGCTCTCAGAAATCAAAATGAAAACGAGAAGTTGGGATACTTCTGACTGGTTCTGATCGATTTCTTGACTCGATACTGTGACATATTTGCTAAGCAAAGATTTTGACGAGAAATGCATACAAAACTTTTACTAGATACGAGACCTAAAAGCTATTACTTCACCTTACTTCTCATGAGAACAGTTATTGAGAATGAATGACTGTCTCGCCTGAGAAGCAGTTCTAGCCGTGCAAACACATGCACACGAATAATCTTTTGATTGTCGCCAATACACTCCTGTTCACATTCATCAAACTTATTTGCAAATAAAATACTACTACAAGCAAGAGTAAACTTCTTTTCAAGCTTATGTAAAAATATTTGTCAATGAACAGCTTTTTTTCTCAGCTTTTCACACACATAGGTGTACTTTTAGACGGAGGAAGAAAATACATTTTCATATCCTTGCCTTTTTATAGTTCTTGTTCGTTGTGATTAAATAAATCTGATGTGAACTTTTGATCAAATTATGCTGTTAGCTGAAATGCGTGGTCAACAAGTTTCATACCGACTAGTTTTACTTGTCTGCGAACGTTGCTCTTTTGACACATGAAAAAGATGACAGAACGAACATGCAATCTGTGAGGTGTAGCCAATAGCCGATCGATCCTAAGAATTAGTCCAAAGATGTTCCATATCCCTGGACGATGAAAATCAGATATTTTGCTAGCAATAAACTTACCGTTTTCGACACTGCATTAATCTGACAGGGGTACACTGCAGATACTTGAGTTGATGTTTACAGAAATATTCTAAGGTCCTGTTGTTGTTGCTCTTGCATTCTCCTCTATGTACAAAATGATCATTCGAATGCAATAACAAGAAATTTGTGTCACTAAATGACGGACACTCGAAATAATACTTTGAAAGATATAGTTGATTTGCTCTAGAACCTGAGAGAGAGAGAAAGAGTGAAAGAGAAAATGAAAATCTGAAGAATAAGTAAATAAAAAAGTCTTACTTTCACAGTACTGTTTACATTTGATTTTTTAATATTCCAGACAAGAATGTGACACAGAATGCAACATTAGGTGTACAACAACCAACTGCTTTTTTTATGGATTAATTTGCAATCATGCAAAACAATCAGTAAACTAAAATATGTGTGTCTCTGTGGTGATGAAGAAAAAAAAAGAGTTTTGAAAGTAGAATGATAAAAAAAGATGAATAGCCACAAAAATAGATGTGCACATATGGATGCTACTGTGCGGATAAATTTATAGATATTCCTATATACGCACACTAATGTAATGCATAATTCTTACTTGAAATCATTTCTGTGCCACTTGAAATCGTTTCTGTGGCATTTCAAGCAAAAATAATATGTCAGAAAAGAACCGCAGCTCATTTCGATTTTTGTGTCTGTAACACACACACACACACAAAAAAAAAAGTGCGTATGAATGCCCGCAAATGTCAACTTTATTTTTTTTTGGGGTGAATGAATAGTGTGGTAAATGAAAAAAGTATCAGCAATCACTTTTTCAAAATAATATTTTTTATCAAATTTTTAATTCAAACTGTTTAAACATCAGAAACGAAATGTCAATGTTATTCATTACAAAAAATGCATCTAGCGTTCATCTAACAGCGAGGATACACTGGTGTTTGCGGTCACATTATAACTAGTAACAACAGACAAATACGCAGTGAGCAAAAGAAACCGTTAGTTCAATGAAATGAGCATCGCATAACTTTCACTCAGTGCGTTGTGACATGATGCATCAAATAGAAAAATTCACTTTTAGACAGTTCGGTTTTTGTGACAACTGATATTCCCTAGATATGTTGTATGTGTCAGAAGTAGGTTACAGTTTAAATCTAGTATTTCTTATAGTTGCTTTTCCATTAACTGTCTCCATAAATTTTTCTCGGTCACATTCGCATTCCTCTCAGCTGATTACACACACGATGTTGATTTACTAACGATTTCTTAGTTCAGCTCTGTAAGCTTTTATCTTCGAAACCTAGATAGATGTTACAGGATTTTACTTTGAGTGGAAATATTAGAATGCTTCAGTAGTCAAAAAGCAAAGAAGCAGACCATTTGGAACAAAGCAAAAGACCATACCGATGGCGTCAGTGTCGGTATTCTTAGAAACATGAACCCTATTAATGACTATTAATTTCCTTAACAAGAGTGCATAAGGCAAAGATGCATTCAGAAACAGTTTTCTGGTTAACGGTTAATGATGCGTTTGAAAAACAATGAATTCACAATAGTCACAGTTTTGACAGGTAGTAACTTTCTCTTTAAAAATGGTTGAAACAAACTCAAATCTTGACTAATATTAGTAACCTTTTATGCAGAATTTGTACAGAAAATATCGAAACCGGACTGTTTAAAAGTCATATATTTATATTCAACTCATAATGTACGATTTCGCTCTTCTTGATGGAACCAGGCATTATGAAGAATTGTGAGGCATCTTAATTTGTGCACTGGGTTAGACTTTTCGCGATGCAGTTTAACATAACTAATCGTTTTGCCCTAAACTGCAGATCCACTTTGTACCTTGTTTTCTAGTGAAGGTTATTATACTTAGATTCTATGTTTCGTTGTTATCTTTCGATTCGTTTCCTTTTGAAGTACTGATTCTATTCTACGTACCTCTACTGCCTCTCTTCCTGCTCTTCCGATCATCGGAGATGTGTCTCTGCTGAGTCCTCTACAATCGAAAGCACGTTCTAGCGTGTTTCATCATTTTGAAGATTTCTGAACGTTCAAACATGGACAAAATAATGGTGGCCGAAGCGCGCTATGGGCTTAAAACCCATGGGCATGAGGAAGATGATGTTGTCGATAGATTAAATAGTCGAATAACCGTCATGGCTCTAGCAATGTGTATATTTATTTTGACCGCAAAAACATATGTTGGCGACCCGATTAATTGTTGGACGCCAGGTAAATATCTCGTGCGAGATCTTTAGCCATTAAATGGCCTTCCGTCATCACTTGAGCTTTCACACCTAAAAATCGTCTGTCTTCTGTCTTTAGCTCAGTTCACCGGCACCCATAATGCGTATACGAACAGCATATGTTGGCTGAAAGGAACATATTATTTACCCAGTGACGAAAGTAAACGCGTGTCTTCGTTTACATTTAACATCGCCTCACATCATCATTTTTTCTAGTCACTGTGCCCGATCGATCAAAACCGCGCACCTATCATGTGTGAGTAATAAAAGCATAATGAGCGTCGTCAAGTAGTATAGCAAATGTGCTCATTTAGGTCCTACTATCAATGGACACCTTACATTTTGGTGATCATGTCTGTATTGTTCTTACTACCAAAATTTCTGTGGCATGCGTATACACTTCGTGCTGGACTAAATCTACGCCGTTTAGTCAACTCATTAAAAGGGAATGTAGAGAATGAGAAAGGAATTGAACTAGTTCAAAAGAAGTTAGAAGCACATTTAGACGCACCAAGGAGATTACGTGGCAAAACGGGTGTTAAACAAAGATATTATTACACTCGATTGTCGATTGTGTATTTCGTTATCAAACTCTGGTATTTAACGAACTCTCTAGGACAATTCTTCCTATTAAACGCATTTTTAGCGTTCCCATTTTCTGGCTATGGTTTCGAAGCGATGAGAAAATTTTTCCGTTACGATGATGACTGGTTTGAATCACCAAGATTTCCACGTATAACAATGTGCGATTTTATGATAAGACACTTAGGTTCAAATCAACACTGGTATGCTATTCAGTGTAATTTACCAATCAATTTGTTTAATGAAAAGATATTTCTTGGTATTTGGTTTTGGCTGCTAATATTAACGATGATTAATTTTGTCAATATGATCTTATGGATCATATCGTTGAGAATGCAATCGAGAATAAACTATGTGAGAAAACATATCGACTCATCAATGGACGAAGTCAGAAATATAAATGGATTTGTCAATTATTTACAACTTGATGGCTATATAGCATTTCGAATTATTTCTAAAAACTCAGACGAAGTCACTGCTCAAGTTATTCTCGGACGCTTGTACGACAAATATGAACAAACACGCGCGACTAGTTCTACTGTTTGAGCCTCTGTTCATACCTATTTGTGTACGCATTTCAGTTGTTAATCTCAGGTTAAGGTTTATCCTAATTCTGTAATTTGTTCAATGTTATGTGTTTTTTACAGTGATAGACAATAGCAGTATTAGGGCAAAGGACTGGAATAATGATTACTTTCAGAATTCATGTGTTAATTTCATGACGTACAATGAAAGAGTGTGTTAGTAACATAATCGAAAGAAGGCTACGATTAAACGAGTCTTACTGGATTGTGTTTTTG